CCCCACCCCGCGATCCCTCTGCCCCCCCTCCCCGTCCTCAGGTGCGTGCTGATCGTGTTTGCCAACATGCTCTTCTACCGCGTGGCGTCAATCCTGGCGCTGAGGTACTTCAGGTTCCTCAAGCGCTGACACACTGGGGCGCTGGCGCCCGCCAGGAGGGATGGACGGGCACGGGCACGGCATGCTGCCGCCGCCACGCTGGGCTGGGGCGGCGGGATTCAGGCCGCGCTGTGGAGACAACGCGCTTTCTTGAAAATGATGTCATGTGACCACCACAATATGACCCGGGCATGCTCTCAGAACGATGAATGCCACCAGGAGCAGCCCCAGGGTTTGCGCATTGCTTTTGCCTGGGGGCTTTATTGCCTGGGCCCACCAACACCTTGTACCTTTCTTCGGCCTATCGAGCCCCACACACGCATGCGGCACACATGATGAGAATGATCGCCACACCACCATACAACAACTGCCCTGCGTACAGCCACTCCCCGGCCGAGGCGTTTGGCCCCGTGCCAGAGAGCCATGAGGCTTGTTTCATGCATATCCTTGCTTGGGGGACACTAACTTTCGAGTGAATTCTGTGAGATGGGAATGACTCATGTAAACTCCGCTAAGCAGAGCCAGGCGCCTGTGCTCATTCTGACCGTTGACTCAGCGGGCTGCGCTTCGAACATCAACAAGGGAGGAGTTGCGTCATGCGGCAGCTGCCACATCGGTGTTTCACTTTACAACGCTGCCGCGTCAACAGAATCGGCAGCAGCAGCCGCAGCAGCAGCGGTGGCAGCACTACCCTGGCTAAGGCAGGCGAATTCCTCCGCCAGCAGGGGTGACAGGCCGCCCAGCCCGGCGACGCGCTCCACGCCGCCGCACCGCAGCGTCCGCGCCAGCGCCTCCGTCAGCTGCGCCGCCGGCGCCGCCAGCCCCAGCGGCGCGGCGGCGCGCACCTCCGCGGCCAGCGACGTGGCGGCGCGGTCGGGGGCGCCGCAGGGCACGATGGCGGCGAACGCCGACAGGTCCGTGTCCACGTTGAGCGCCAGCCCGTGCGTCGTCGCGCCGCGGCTGATGCGCACGCCGACCGCCCCCAGCTTGCGCTCCCCCACCCACACGCCGGTGCGGCCCGGCACGCGGCCGCGCGCGGGGACGCCCCACGCGCCCGCCACCGCGATGACGGCGTCCTCCAGCGCCTCCACGTAGGCGCGCGCCCCCAGCCCCAGGCCGCGCAGCGCCAGCACAGGGTAGGCCACCAGCTGGCCGGGGCCGTGGTAGGTGGTCTCGCCGCCGCGCGGCACGTGCGCCACGGCAGCGCCATGCGAGGTCACGGCCTGGGGTGGGTGGATGTGGCAAGGTTGGTGAGTTGGTGGGTTGTTAGGGCGGGCAGCTCACTGTGTCCATGCCACAGATGGATGCTTGCCGGGGACGCGCAGGGAACCGGCCCGGTTGCCCACTGCTGCTGAGGTGGCCGTCTGCAGCGGGCAGGTGGCAAAAAAGCACGCACCTCTACCCCGTTGCGGAAGTCGGCCAGGCTGCCGCGCTTGCCCACTGTGTAGACGGGCTCGTGCTGCGTGCGGAGGGGCCACATCAGCCAGCAGCAG